CGACCTTGATATAGTCTGGTTGATTAAACCATATAGTCTGGTTGATTAACCAGGAATTCTGGTTAAATTGTAGAAAGAGTAATTTATGGTGGATACCAATGGAGTCCATGTCATCGCTGAATATCAAACCCTAGTCTGACCATGACTGCGCTATTTCGAAGCCCTGTTGAGACACTTGTTTTATGTTTGATGTCTACATTTAAAAAAATGTCCGATCGATACGACAAGCTTTATACACATTATATAGATATCTTATAGTCTCACCTGCAAACGGGGCAGTAGTATTTGATCAAGAATATTATCATATATCCATGATGGAAGGAGAGGTAGCCAATTTTCAAGGAGTTCAACCAGACCATCGCAAAATTGAGGATTCCATACACTTTTTGAAAACAAAATAAAAGATGATTAACTAATGCAACAATTGGGACTAGGCTCTGTCTTGTTAACTCCATTTAACTACCGCCCTTGCAAAGCTGGCCTGTAAGAACGAAGATCTGTCTTGTCGATTTATTACATCCCTCTGAAAACTACTTATTGTAAATTAAGTTGGTACTCTCTTTAAAAAAATAATTGCATACAATATTCTATATTCTATTTATTGTGTACTTATAAGATTTACCCTAGGATGCTCCTAAAACAGTATTATAATAAAAATTATTATTATTACGCATTACTAATACAATCTCTGTTTTGATTGGTTGCTGGCCTACGAATAATTCGTGATGTCTTGTAATTCTGACGTCATTCTTATGCGTAGTAATTCCTTAGTCATTCTTATGCGTAATAACATAATTATTGGACTCGATTTTCGCGTGATATAGAGAATTATCAAGGCCTCGGTTTGTGTTATTCGCCTCAGCCTTCGGTGGATAATACAAACCTCGCCGCCTTGATAATTCTCGATATCCCGCTCAACCTCATGCAATAATGATTTATTATTAGTTCTAAAACTCATTAATAATGAGCACGGTATTATTGTCTTGATACGAACGAAAATAATAAATTCTTTATCGCGTATGATTACAAAATATTACCTTGCACATCTTCTAAAAACTGGCATCCAAACTTCCCATATTAACCTTTCGTATGTATCCATGCTAAGTTTGAAAAAGCGATACTTATTGTAATAGATCAAGGTAGTTACAGCTCAGATTTTAATTTAAATCACTTGAAACTTCTTTGTTGCCTATATATAGTATCTTGCAAAAATCTTCAGATATACCATACATTCCTGTCAAACCCTGCTCAGAAACGCAAAATGTATTTAAATACGTTTGAAGCGACACCAGTGTTAGTCATAAGTTTGTAGACGTTCTCTGGTTTTAAATATTTATTTAGTACTGTACGTGTTTTCGACTACCAGTCCACACTCTTCATGCAGTCTTCGAAAACTCGTACTAAATAAATATTTAAAACCCGTTATTGGAGATTTTATCTCTGTGTGGTCATTCCAGCCATTGTGTGTAATTTATAGTTAGTTTATATCTTTAATAATGGCAAATTTGTAAAATAAAACCAGAGAACGTCTACAAATTTATTGCAAAATGTATTATTTTCATCAAATGTAACTAAGAATGCGACGTGAAATGCGATGTGACGTAAAAAGTTGTATTACATGCAAATAAAACCAATATCTGTATTTATTCTCCAGATATTGAGAGAGAAAATCTGTAAAGGATATATTTAGCTACATTTTGAAAAATTCTTTCCACTAAAAGAGTATTGAATAACATCATTTTCGTGCATGCCTCATCAGACCACAATATTTTTCTCACCTGTTTGGATCTAAAGAAGGCCCAGTAGATAAAGTAAAGGAGTTTGGTTTGTCTCCCTCAAGTAATTTCTTCCATCTTTTTGCAACTTCCAAACCATAACTTGGATTCTGAAGTGGATTCCAAATTTCTAGATGTTCTTTGATCTAAAATATGCACCGACATTTTTTGTCATTAAAGCCTTATCCAGCGAATTGACGTATTGGTATACAGTGTATATAGCTGCATAATTATACAAAACCTCTACAGAGAGCTTGTATACTGAATGTGTGCTGCATTACATTGCATGGAAATTTGGGGAGGACGTTCTTACTGATTTCCAACACCCCACAAATACATCCTAAATATATATAATTTTGTAGCCTTGCATTTTAAAAATTCTAAAAAAAATGTCTACTTGTCACCTTTGGGAATACTAGCGGAACAGCCATTGTCACTAATTCGTACATCTACATATAAAAGATAAAATGGTAAGATGATGAAATACATTCTGTAAGAAATATTCCAACAATTCAGCTCGATATATAACTAAAAAGTAGTACATGCTGAATTACACAGCCTCCTCCGCAGGCATCTCTATATAGGGTTAGGTTTTTCGAACCCTAACCATATAGATACCTGCTGAGGAGACTATAAGATTCAGAAATACCACCAGGCCTATACAAAATATATTTCTCTTCCTGGCAGAAAAAGCCAAAAATAAAAATTTCCCGTGCAAGTCAAACATGCATGAAACTTTCAGAGGAAAATGTAGATTTTAGAGAACGTATGGTGCCGCACGTTGTGATTAAGTTCAATCTCGCCACAAGACAATCTCGAGTTGTAAAATGCTTTTGGAATTTTTAAGCACAAATAAATTATATCGCATTCCAGTATATAAGATGACAAAAATTTCCTCATGGCAGCGGTGCTGCCGGACATTTTCCAGCACTGAATATCACACTGACCTTGTACAAATCTGCAAATTCATTTTGCAGTTTTTCAAAAAGGACTTCACAATCTTGTAACGAAAGACTTTCATTGGAAGCTCCAGTACTTTGCTGTCTGCACCTGCAATTAGAAGACGGTTTATTACGTATCTATTTCATTTATACAGTAGTACAAGTCACAGACAAAGTAACAAATGGGCGCTATTTGGAGTTTGGACAGCTAAGCAACCGCAAGTTTTTAGAAACCTTTGTGATAAGCTTAGAACTTAAGAATCCTCCTCTCCTACTAATAGCTTGGCCCTTGGACCCTTTGGAGGGGGGCTGTCCCCATAAAGGTCGTAGCTTTCTCAGTGCTGATGGTGCATGCATTGGTTGACGGACACACCCCTCTCCACGACGAGTGCCCACTCAGAAATCCTCTCCCTGATAAAGCTGGATCCACCCTTGGTTCTTCCTGCATTGAGCAAACAAACATCCCTACTTTTCAATAATAGCCATAACATCAACCAATTGTTTCATATCATTCTCTTCCTGTTCAATTTCTTTACCGAGTCTTTCTTCTTCATATTTTAAATTCACTATCAAGTCTCGTTCATGACGGAGTCTAGCGAAGGATAAGAATAATAAATAAGGAATTTAAATCTTTGTATTCACATTTGCTGCATGTTGACGAATTATTAAATTTAACATGCAGGAACACCATGTATAATGTTTATTGAGCTTGTTTGAGCTGAACTATCATCTCGTCACGAGAGCCAATACAGTACTGTAACTCGTACAGTATAACATGGTAGCAGCAAAACAGAAGCTGTTTAGACGTATTCCCCATAGGTAAAGGAACATCTGCAAACGTTTAAAATAACGAAAAAGATACTTTCGGCAACAAAACTTACTGTTTGTCAACTTGAACAATTTCTGATTCACTCAAATCCAACAAAAGATTCAAGTTGTATTCCAGTTCGGGAAGTGAAAATGCACGGTCATCTTTTACTTGGGATAAAACTAAACAAAAAAATCAGTGCATGATGATTCTGGAAATTAGGGAAACGTTGCTGACTCGCAGATCCGGATTTACGGATACGCTCAGCACGTTAAAGGCTGTAGATCTAGCACAATTTGGACAAGCCAGGGTTATGGGAAGAACAACAATTGAGATTTACATTAACTTAAAAATGGTTTTTTTTATAGTTTGCTCCAAAATGTCTTCAAAATACAGTTTCAGGAACCCAAAATTTAAAAAAATCCTTGGAGCATACTCCCGCCCTCGCCCCCGGCTTTTATCATTGGAACAATCAGAGCTTAGTAAATATGCAAATAAAGATTCAATTATACGAATCATGTTGATATTCAGCAGGGGTCAGTTGTACGAAAGCCGGATAGCGCTATCCACTGCGGATAGTGATTTTTTCTAGCTTTCTTTGGTACAGTACAGTATGTAAAATTAAAGTTTCCTTTTATTAATTGTGGGGTCCATATTCGTAATATCATCACTTTTCAAGAATTTTTTCTACGGTTTAAAAAAATCACTATCCTATATTCGTATAATGGATAACTATCTGGCCTTTGTACAACCGATCCCAGTAGTATACCTGTTGTCTCGTCCTCAGGATTAGCGTGTTGTGTAGCGAAAAATCCATAACCTGTCAATATCTTAGCTTCACGTCCTGTCATGTCCACAACCTTTATTTACAAAAACCATATATTTTACGTATACTGATATGAACATCGCGATTGCCCATGAAGGCAATGGAGGACCAGGAGCCGGTTGTATAAAACTCTTAATCACTTTTTTAATCACTATTTTGTAGTTAAATAGTGATTGACTCTCAAATAGGCGCTTCTTATTGGATGACATTTCCACTTAACTATGATTAACTTTAATCACTTTTTTATACAACCGGCCCCTGCACTCCAAACGTTTTTAAATCATAAAAGATTTTAAATCTTTTTTAAACTGACAAGTATTAACGTCGATTGGTTGTGAAAAAAAAATGAACTGGTTCTGTAATCTTTATGTTCAGTGTGAGCCTGCAGTGAGGTGGTCAAGCATCAACGCCTTGAAGCATCAATGAACGTTACCTTAATATTACTTGTCGACAAGGATAGTCCTGGTCTCTTAGATTTCCCTGATTCCTATAATAGGAGTTTGAAAATTCTGGTATAGATTTCATGATTCATTAAGATTTACTAATAAACTGCACTATTTACACGAAAAGAAATTATATAAAATTACACAAAAACAGTTTATAATTAATAATTTCAACTTAATTTACTTAGTGAAAGTCCGTATAGTGATCAAAGGAGCATAAGCTTTCGAACTGATCACTATACAGTATTGTATTGTACCCATAAATATTTGCTAGAATAACCTTTAACTATATTCTGAAAGTGCAGACAAAAAATACTAATAAACTGCATGTACAGTACTTGTAGTAAAGATATTATATACATTCCCGGGACAATTTATTCCCGAGAAAAGGAGAAGTTATGTCTTGCCAAAATAAGCATGCATAATTTGTTTAATAATGTGTAATAAACATGTTTAGTAAATTATTTACACATTGAATAGTTCCCTAATTCGCTAAATTGAAATGTGTGTTACAAAGATTTGCAGGAAAAGAATGTGTCATGTATGTCATGCCTTTTTGTGATATGTTTCAGAGTATATGAACAACTAGATACTTATTAACAAGAAAATGTTTCCCAAAGAAACATGATCATTCATCAAGTTCTTCTTACCTTCACCTCGTCAACAGTTTTGTAAACATACTTCGGTTTTCCTTTCACCTTTTCAAAACACGAACGTTCAATGTTAACTCCGATTGGATAACAATAATAGTACCTATACGCTTATTTCAAAAGCATCATAGATTTTTTAGAAATTTAAAAACGACATATTTTTTATGACAATCATGCATCTTTAAAATACACGAGCGCGTGCGAGCGCCGCTCGCAGGCACGTTTTAAATTTTGCAAGCACATTTTAACATTCTAACTTGTTAACACTCATAACTGTATCTATAGGTCACAAAATCTAAAGTAAGATGCTTGTGTGCAGGCTTATTTTATATTTTTGCTCACAGGCCGGCACGAAAACATATTTTAAAATGAGACCTGCTTTTTCAGTTGAGACCATGCGAACCATGACAAATAAAAATTGATAAATAAATATAATGTTCTCCAAACTTACATCAGATTTCCTCCATTGACTTAATTGCTGACGAAAGTCTTCTTCCTCAACATCTTCCTCAGGTAACTGAGCCTAGGAAGATAAAAATATAATAATTATATTGAAACTCCTTGACTTTCCAGGTTTTCCATGATCCTATACGAACCCTGCATTGTAATTTTCCATCTTTTTAAAAGTTAAGGAAACCAAGAAAACTCAAAGACAAATTAAAGTAAACTCGATACTGTACAGTAGTTTTAATAACGGTGCCAAAATTCGGCAGCCTACAATCTTGTTTTATCGATTTAACAATAACAATTGAAGGCCCAAACAACAGGACAAATAAAGTCCTAAATTAAGCCCTGCCTGACATGGTGCTACATATTATATCACTATGAGTTACACATCATTATATGTACGTATATAAAATTCGCTACGAAACATGTCATTTTACGAACGACAATGTAAAAAACAAGAACGACATTTAGAACAAATTGTTTTCCAAGTCCTTGGTCTATCAACACCGAAACATGCATTAAGTTTCTCAGTGTACTGTTTTTGAGTTTACTTGATTCAGTGACTGGACAATAAGAGAGGATTTTATCTCGTTGGGCAGATTGTTTCTTTGGGGAACCTCTGACAAACGTTCTTGAGATTCGTTACCGTAAGTATCGCACCCCCACCCCCCTTCCCCCCTCCCCAAAGGACGATCTTTGGGCAGATATAAATCAACTATGACTGAAGAGGATTTTCCGTTGGTATAATTGACCTGACTACAATTACCTCCTGCTTTTTTGTGTGTTTTTCTGGACCATAATAACTGAGTGCACCACGACCACCTCTCTTGAAGGCCTCCACTGGGGTAGCAATACCCTATATAGATGTTGAAATAAACACATCATGCAGTCAAACCAGAGCGATTGCAAAGGTTCAGATGCGACTTCCATTACCGCTACCGCAATCATCATTAAAGGACAATTAACAAAACAGATGCGTTTGATATGTCCGATTAACTAATCAGATACGTACTAAGCCAGGTAGTGGACGTTAAATCTGAAATAAGATATTGTACGTATACTGTTATATAATAATGATATACTTTTTGTCACAGTGGCATGCAAAAAACAAGACTAAGGCATATATCAGTGAAGTGATTTGAATCTTGTAAATAAAAAGATAAGAGATGCACAATTTTCATTGGATAGATACTGTGAAATATACAAATTTAATAGAGAAAAAGTACAAACTTTAAACTAAAAATAAAAAATAACTGTAAGTTAGAATGCTTAAAGCCTCATCTTTTGATTCATCATTGTCAGGGTTATATACCTGACCTTCCTTGCCCAAACCTTTACCAGGTTCATAACCCATCTAAAGAAATGAAAGAAACGTTTCGCTTGAGCAAACGATGCTGGAATCCATAATGCTATACTCTGCATTGACATATCCTATGGTGTACAGAGCAGTAAAATTTGTTAAAGACAAGTATAATACAGAAATATGGCATAGTAAGGTTCAATTTGAATGAATATAAATTCAGGGGTGGATTTATAGGGGGGTGCACAGGGGTGCGCAGTGTCGGCACCCCTGTTGGCGTTGGTCATCAGGGGTGCAATGGGGGTGCAATGGGGGTGCAATGAGGGTGCAAAAATCGAATTCGGAAAAATGGCATAATTTCCAAGGTTTTTCCTTTTTTTGAAGTCAAACTGAGGCTATGAATTCAATGCCCATATCGCAGAAAATGGCATTTCTAGGGTTCTAATTTTCAGAATTTTTCGGGAGGCATACCCCTGGACCCTCTAGGGAGCTCGCGCCTTCGGCACTCGATCCACCCCTGAATAAATTCGATAACAAACATTAAAATACTCATTAATAATTCATAAACCTTGTGGCAAATCATGTCAGCCATAATATATCACGTGGAGTGACTTTATATCTGATAAAACACATGTGGCATTACATAATTGTTCATCCTAATTAGTATTCTTATATAAAGAATACTAATGAGACGGCATCTTTTGTAGTGTCGTATTTTAAGCTATTAAAAACACTCGTATAAAACACTCCTACTAGTGTTTTAAATAGTACGTATGATACTGTATTAAATTTGTATTGTGCATGACACAACTTGTAATGGTGTGATATGGCATTGACATTGTATTGTATTGTTTGTATTGTATGGTATGGCATGGTATGGTGTGATTGGGTAATTGGTATTATGGTATTGTATGGCATGAGCCATGACGTTATATGCTATGGTGTTGTATGGTATTTTTTCATATAGTATGATATGGTATGCTAAGGCTTGGTAATTGGCATGGCTCACGGCGTGCTATGGTATTGTATGGTATGATACAGTACACTACAGTACAATAAAGTCTTACCTTCTTTAACATTTTTGTACCAAAACCTTTAGTGTGCTGTTCCCATGATGCAAAGTCCCTAAAAAACATTCAGTGTTGATGAGTTGATATGTTTGAATGGTGAAACCATAAAATGTTCAATTATACTTTCCTGAGGTGGGTAATTCCATGCTAATGTAGACATTAATTAAAATTAATTTTCCAAGAAACGTTAATTAAAACAACAAGTTTTAACATACATACATGTATCCAGGGACAATAAAGAAGTTAGTTTGGATTAAATACAATTGTTGTATAGCATCCGCATGGTTGGATGGCTTTCAAAGTTCTAATTATTTTGAAAATTTGATACCTTACAACTGTAGAATACCATACAGTTTTCTCATGACATCTACAGTATTCAGCTTCAAGGCTTTAGTCAGCATTTCAGACAAACCATATTAGGTACTAATTTTATGGCCGAAAGGCAATTAGACATATATGTGGACTGGTTTATAAAGAACACTTAATGTGTAACATGAGTCGCGTATCATGAGGCACAGATGTTATGTAAATTTTCTACCTAAGTATTTACATGTATTATTTAAAATTTACTTTATTTTTATACAACATATACTTTGTTTATGATACGTGAATTCAATAAAATATATTGTGTCTGCTGACAATAGTTGAAGTGTGTTAAAAAAATACATTGTTAAAGTACATCAGAACATGTGTTGTTTTTGTTCAAAATGCACCATGAGTCACGGAATTTACACCAGGTCATAAAATGATGTCTCATAATTCTAGGATATATAGCACCTGCCTTATATAACTCAAGGGCTACAGCTATACAGTTAATTTGGCGTTTTCTTAATTTACAGTAGGTATTTTGTTTTGACGCTGAGCTAATGTGACAGCAATTCATTCCAATGAGAAAAGAGTGATATACTGGGATAAAACCTGTATGAATCTGTGTATAACATTATTCGATTTTAAAAAAGAACTCCAGAACAACGTAATAACTATTTTCCCGTGCATAATTTTAACTTGTTTCAATCACACTTACTTTCCAGCATTTCTCTGCATCATTCTTGCATAAATTTTATTATCTGTGGGGAAAAAAACTAGAATAATTTCTTGCCACATGTTCATTTACTTATGGTATGTATTTATTAGAATAATAAAGGAAGTTAATTAACGTAGGTAGCAGTGTCGTTTCACCTATTCGATTATGTGTGGGAGAGTTTTGTAATGGGTTTCTTTGCACCAATACAAATAGAATGGGCCACAAGAGTCGCGCAGATCTGTAGAAGAATTAATAGGCAAACGGTATAAAATATGAAAATCGACTATAGTTAACATGCAAGTCTTCTCGAATCGAAAAGGTTGGAAATGCGTGCTGTACGTACTGACAGTAGTGTGTGTCAGAAAGAACAGCTCAAATTGCGTATTTGAACGTACTGACTGACGTGCGAGTTTGAACGACCAGCTCGAATTGCGTAATGTACCAACTGACTAAGTTGCGTGTCTGCATGAACGAACAACTCAAAATTGCGTGTTTGAAAAACATGCGTGATTGAACGAAAAGCTCAAAATGCAAGTTTGGACAAACTGTATATAATGAAAATTGTATAGTTCCATATTCTTATGTGACCAATCTCATAATCCAGTAGTAGATGCCTCGCAACGAAACGCGATATCAACTAATTTTTTTAAGCGAAGCTTTAAATATAGTGCATCAATGTTGTGGAATGCAAAAAGAGTGACTTCGCTCCGTCAATTTAAGCATAGAATTGCGGAACTGTTGACTTAATTATAGTTAATTCTCTTCACTTGACTTTATATAAAAATCTTTATATAAAAATCTTTATATAAAAATCTTTATATAGTTTGCATAACAATGGTCTTTTGTTAAAGTGTTCTTTAGCTGGTATAAAGACGTATGGACGTGACTAATTTCTTACTCAAGATTGGATAATTGTCGATAACCACTGAGTATTCTAATAAAATACAAAACAATGGAAACTCCGAAGAAATTCATATTTTTAATTCAAAATAAAAATTAAAAAAAAAAAAAATGAATTAAAAATATGAATTTCTTCGGAGTTTCCATTGTTTTGTATTTTATTGGATAATTGCTTCATTAATTATTAATGAGTTTTTGAAATATATGTATATATCACGCTCCTCCTGTATATTAGCATAGTTGTGCGAGGCTAGCGTGCTTTTTCTTTGAAATAAAATCTGTGGTTGATGATGATGATGGTTACAGCACTGAACCTTGTAATTTGGTTTCCAAGAAGCGTAATCTGAAATATGCTCTGGAGCATCTGGAGGTTATCGACGCTTATTTAGCAAACGAAGTTCGAAAGAATTGAGTCGCTGGCCTTTTTCTGATTTCTTCAATTGCGTCACTACACTGCATCTCTATTGGCGTAAAAAAACAACCAGGAAAATAGCGGCTAATAAATAGATTTGTCTTCACCACATGGTCACAAGTTCAGGGGCGAAACTTCGGTATTAGGGCTGGGGGGGGGGGATGAGCTTGTTTTGCCCGACCAAAAGGGCGTGGCCAAAGTCGTTCCCGACGGATGGGTAGTTTCGCGCCTGGCCACAGTGCCAACGATGTTACCCCTAAAGACCCTATTTCTCTTCCCTACATATTGGGGATGGCCCCCGGAGCATTAGATGGCCAAGTTTGATGGAACAGCGCGTAACGTAATATCCCAATCCATCACGAAGATCGGCAATTCCTTCGAATGCTTTGGCGAGACCAATATTACGTTGATTTAGCCCTTCTGTTTAGGTTAGGTTCAGCACGGTTCATTTTTTACTCATCCATCCTCCTCTCGTGAATGCGGCAATAATATCGCCGTCGCTAGATCAGTGGTCCCACTTGGATCTCCCTCTCCACCCGAAGTGCGAAGGCCCTACTTCCTCTCTAGTCTTCTTACTCCCTCACGACAATTAATTTGTGGCTATTCTTCAGCTTCTTCACTCGTGTCATTCCTCCTGGTAAAGCAGTCCTTCGTTCTATGATCAATCTCCTCTCGGCCTTCCAATCTGATTTTTATTTGATTCGGATCGCTGTCACCTCTTCCAGACATTTTTGTCACCCTCTCATGCAGCTAGTTCACTCGGTTCTACTGCTACAGTTTTTGGAAAAATTCCTGGTGTGTGGGGTCGTGGCCAAATAACTTCATCGACGGTGAAAGAATAGTTTCCTATCGTCCTTGCTGCGTGTCTTTGGGGTTGCTATTGGAGTAAACTCACGTTAAGTTTCTTTGTGATATTAACTCGGCTATCGTAGCTGTGCTCAACCACAGTTAAGGCTCAACTCGTCTTGTCGTTACGGTAATCCGCATGCTGTCACAATTTTTCGTTTTCAACAGGAATTATTGACCCCAAAATATCCCACAATGCACTGTGCATCCCAGAGTCCTCTGTATTAAAAACTGCGTGACGTACTGTAAGAACTTCTAAGGTCTATTCCACGTGTTTCACTAGTCTCATCCCGATCCAAATCCGTTTCCAACTCCAGTACTGGACCCCACAGTTAATGTTCCTCGGTCATGCAAGGTTCCATTAGTGACAGAACTTGAGGTCAGATTTATTCAAATTGCCCCGCTACTCTGAAGGGTTGGAATCAGTATTGGAAGGTAACCTTTTCCAACCTATCCTGGTTCTTTGGTAGATTCGTCGTGTATGTCTGCCAGCTTCGTACTGTACGTGACAGCTTCACTAGCTACTGATTGACTAACCCTTCTTGATTTGCATGCCACCAATATAAAGCAGTACTGCCTTACTGTAGTAAGTAGTTCATAGTGTTTGACATACCATACTATAAGCTTGCAATCCCAAGTTAATATTGTAAACTTGTATACTGGAGAGGGCTAGCTTAACCCATAGTAGCCTCTTTAATCTTTAAAAAAAATTATTTTGACACAGTAGCCTATTCAGTATGATATTTACAATCTGTTTTTCAAAGGGCCGTGCCATATAATATCAAATACACATTAACTATAGTTGTTTATTAATTAATTACAGAAGTTTACTAATTACTAACATCTAACGCACTCGAGCTTAAGCAAGCAATTCTCTCGAGGGTGTAGCTCTGTTGAAGAGGTTCCGGCTGCTTAGTTTACTCGGCAAGCCGGCTTACGATGAACTCCATTCTGCGCAGCTGTCTTCTCGGTAGAAGAGACTTTCAGCCATCCCAGCATCCCGACTTGACTAATATCAATGATGCCGAGAATTAGCCTCTCCAAGGACAGAGTTAACGTCACACCACAGGTGGAGACGGAATTAATAAAAAACACCGAACGAATAGTAACATGAACGTACGAGATATCTTACCTGGTAACCATACTAAGCCGAGCACAACTAACTATATGCACCTACCGACCAAAGGGGAACCAAAGAACGCTGGATAACGCAGGATACCAATCTAAAAGAAATCACCCGGACTAGCCGGGGAGCAAGCCCGACGAGCGGGTGCGGCATAATGCAAATAACGAACACAACACCGGACATTGCTAGCAAGGTTGACAAAAAGGACTACCCCCACCATTTACGCTGTGCCAAGGACACACACAACAGACAATAAGCGGTTCACGGACAGACATAAGGAGTAATGGTGAGGGGACAAACGAACGTACAAGCAGACGAACAAATCACGAAATTAACTATGCAGATGCACAGATACACACATCGGCAAGCAGCCGGACGGGGAGGGGTCAATAGCCCGAGATCGAGCAAACAGCCAGAGGGGGGGGGGGCAAGCAGGCAGCCCAAGGGGCCGGCAAGCAGCCGGAGGTAGGCCGGCAAGCAGCCAGCGAGCACAGGCAAGCAGCCTGAAAAACAAAAACCCGGCAAGCAACCGGCGCCACCGCAGGCAGTGCCAACGCAGGCAGGGGGGAAACACTATCGGGTGGGTGGGTGGGAAATCAAGTGCACAGTGTGAGAAGCAGTATGCAAGTGAGCACAGCTCGTGAGCACAGCAAATGGCAAACTCCCGCCCGCTGACAACAGACTGCTTCTGATTGGTCAATGAAATTGAACCCTGCATAAATGCATAATTTACATATTTTAACGACCCACATCACAACTCGTGCTTGATGTTAATTATTTTTATTGCATAAACACATATTATTACACACTCCATGTAGTTCATAAATTTTCCCCAAGCCAGAAATTATGCAAAATGGAGCAATAAGTTCTGTAGGGATCATCCATCATTTACGACAAAGTTACTTTGTAAATTTAAATGTAGGTTGAGCAAACAATGAGAACAATAACTAAAATATGTCCTGTTAATGGTGCTTCTTGTACTACAGTAGAGCCCATCCACTTAAATACACAGTAAGGAATAGGCCATAAAATTTTCAGTGTTGTAAATACCCATTACTAAAGTAACGCGTTACTAATTACTAATTACTTTTGAGCAATTTTTTGGTAATTAATTACTTACTTCTGTGTGCTTTCTAGTTTCTAATGTTTTCCAACCTTACTATATCAGGAAATTTCAGAAAGAAATGGCATTGAAGTCGAATGTCTGTTGAGGGTTAAGTGTTTATGCGACTGCATCGAGGTACATCGAATTATTAATTAGCAAGTAATTAGTAATTCGTAATTAATTACTTTTGAACGAAAGTAATTGGTAATTTGTAATAATTTGTACCATTTCGAGGAAGCAAATGCAAAGTTTTAAAAATTACTGAAAAAAAGTAACGAGTAGAAATTACAATTACTTCTCCTAAAAAGTAATTGATTATATTACAAATTACAAAACAAGTGAAACTTCAAACATCGATAACATTCTTATTTATCTACGTTTCGACTATATTTCAGTCATCATCAGGATAAACTAGCTAGGTTATACATCAAAAGCAGTATTTATAGGTTTTGATCTGATTTTAATCTGTTGAACAACCAGATCCAAGCTTTGAAACCACCAAATGATCATGATCATCAAAGACATAAAAAATATTGAACTTTCTCGGTAAAAACATTGAACTTTGTCATGAGAATAGACAATATTTTACACGACCGTTCATCCTTAGTTGCAAGCGACGGTACTGAATGAGGAAAACGTGGACTGAGTCCGTGTTTTACAAATCGCGAACTGGATTTGTAAAACACGGACTGGACCTGGAAATGGCGGACTCAGTCCGCGTTTTACAAATCTCAGTTCGCGATTTGTAAAACACGGACTCAGTCCGCCATTTCCAGGTCCAGTTCAGTCCGTGTTTTACAAATCCAGTCCGCGATTTGTAAAACACGGACTCAGTCCGCGTTTTCCTGGTCCAGTCCAGTCCAGTCCGTCTTTTACAACATGCCAATAAATTTGGTAGAATTTACAAATTTGGTATATTTTTTTGCGACTTTATGTTTCGATTTCGTTGTATTGTTTTGCTTGACCCTGTCTATTGTCCTTGTTTACATAATACAAATTCTATTTAAAGTAACGCTCCTGATTGAATAATAAAATTAGAAAGCCACAAAATAGTAGTCAATTTATCCCGGGCGTTCTGTGACCCCCGTCCGCGATCATATCAGATCATGTCAGCGGCATCTAGTAAATTACTTAAATAACATCGCCCGAAGTTCGAAGGTTTTACTCAAAATTCCAAAGGAATTTTACAACTTTAGAAAGTGGAAATATTTCCAGATACATGGGCCATCATTCCAATACCGTATTTACAGTAACATCAAAGAACAAATATGACTGGTTTATACTATAGTTTACTTCATTTTGTCTAAAAATACACTCCCGTGTATATGCAAATTAATACATCCTCTGAGAAAATTCACAAACTAACCTCTCTGAAATTTGAGGTCCTTAACGTGGCTAGAAAAACAATAAATGCCATACCATCACAATATTTGATGCTAAATGTGAGCGGATTGTTTTATTTATTATATGTGACCACTATATATTTAGATTTTCTGCATTTGTATTTTAGCCAGTGCCGGTGGCGTGTTTGTCTAGGGCGTTGCATGCGATCTAACATGCCGCCAATTGGTGGTTCGATCCCGCAATGGCCTATGTTTTGTTTTTCGTTCGCATATTTTTTTCTTTACGATTTTCCCTAAGACTGCCTTTATACAATACCTTTCGGTTAGATTAGAGTTAGGGTCACGTTTATTTTTTAAGTGTATTATATTCAATTAAAATAATATCGACAGAATAAATCATAACATTCTGCTAACAAAGATGAAGGATATGACCATCGACCCTACCTTGATAGAGTGGGTAAGAGGTTTCCTGACCAAAAGAAGGCAACGAGTGAGGGTTGGAAATTCTACCTCCAACTGTCAACAAGTTTAAATGGTGGCGTCCCACAGGGAACTGTTCTGGGCCCTATCTTGTTCATGATAATGATCTGTTAAAGGAGTGGGAAAGCCGGTGGAAATATGTAGATGACACCACTCTTTCGGAGACGATTGCTGTAAACGATCAATCAGTCCTGCAAATTACCCTAGATGGAATAAACTCGTGGTGTGAAGAAAACGATATGGTCTTAAACGCCCGGAAGTGTAAGGAAATCCTAATTTGTTTTTGGAAAAAGAAACCTAACTTAAGTTTCAACAACTGACCGTAAATGGCTATCCTGTTGAACAAGTAAAGTCTGCAAAACTATTGGGCTTAATGCTTAGCAGTGACCTCAAGTGGAATGAACACGTTGCATATATTGTAAAAAAATCTTCGAGACGTTTATATATGTTACGTCTTTTAAAAAGAGCGAAGGCTGATACGAAAACGTTAATTACAGTGTACATATCGTGTGTAAGACCAATATTGGAATACTGTAACCAAATTTGGCATTCCAACATTCCAGAATATTTATCAAAAGACATTGAAAGGATTCAGCGCAGAGCTTTAAAAATTATCCATCTACAGTATCACTATCTTATTACGACGCGCTAGTGGTCTGTAACATTCCAACTTTGCATTCAAGACGTGAACAACTGTGCTCGGCATTCTTTAAAAATAAAGTTGTCCCAGAGTCTAGTCCGCTATCAGGTCTGGTAAAGATCGCTGCAATTCCTAATAAATATGATCTACGTGCCCCAAAGAAACTTGCACCAATCAAATGCACAACAAACCGCTTCAAAAACTCTTTTATTCCGTCGTCTGTTGAACGTTTTAATAATTCTTAGTACCTAGGCTTCAGACTCTTATCAGAGTTTAACCGTTTTTAATCGTAGGTTACATATCCATAATTAACAGATCTGAGAATTTTTAATATTTTTATCATAATTACTCGTATTTTACATGTAATAGTTAAGCATGCAGTTATGTTTATGGATGTATTTCAACCGTTTAAGGTTGCAAAATCCAAGTTTTAATAATAATAATATATTTTTTTAATTAATAATTCACGCGCGCGAATTCGAATTGTATTAATTAATGCTAAATGCCGAGCCGCTGACATGATCTGATATGATTGCGGACGGGGGTCACAGAACGCCCGGGATAAATTGACTACCCACTAAAGTGCCGAAGTGACAAACGGTCGTAGACTGTTTTCCTTCCACCATCGGGGGGAAGGGACAGTCTGTGTACTAACGTTGTGAGAGATTGAAGTAAAATTGAAAAGTAACGTGATGTTACTTGTTACTTTAAGAAAATTTCACTTGTTAGTACCTTCAAAATGTAATTATAATTACGTTACAAATTACTTCAGTAAAGAAATAATTAATTACCATCAAAATTACTCAAAAGTAATTTGTAATTAGTAGTGTGCTACTGGTACTATTGTAACGATTATTTACAACACTGACTGTAAATATAATTTTTACTCATTACTTCTTTTTAGTAATTTTTACAACACTGAAAATGTTGTGTTGTTAATGGGGTGACCATATTAATGAAGTAGCATATACTGTACTATCAACTGTACCTGGATCTGACTGACTTGATACCCCAGGAGATTTGCTTGCAGATTCATGAAACAACTTTCGTGGCTTTTCTTTTTTTCTTGCTGATGGAGAAGATTCCCTAGAACCTTGTGATAATAATATTTCATCTATATCAAAAACACACAACAAAAGGAATAAAAAATTTATTTAAAATTACTAAAATAATATGAATTACAGTTATGTATAAATGAGGCCTGCGCAGGGAACAATTTTAACTGAATTTCTGTCCGCACAGTTTCATCAAAATCCTACGAAATCTGCATATTTTTGATGAACTAATGATTTATTTTGTCTCTTATATGTTGGGCCTTGCGAAAGAGGTAGAGAAAACTCTTAAAATGCTATTTCAGACAATCTAGAGACTGCACATTTTTGAAATTTTTCCACTTGACGCCAACTATGGTGGCACCTTGTGTAAATTATGCAACCATTCTCAATAGTTCTGCCTTCATTTCCATGCAACAGCCATTTACAATGGAAAATTAAAAAATAATACTTTACACTCTGAGCTAGATAATAGTTCTCAAAGACTGTACTGATCAATTGAGCTAAAGTGCCTTCTGGTTTTATCCAAAAGTGTTTTCTGCCTGCTCGCCAACTAGTACCTGACCAATAGCATTTAACCAATACTGGCCAGCACCAACATCAATATAAATGCTCTCATGCCGGTATCCGGTCAAAACGTCCCCATGTCAAAACGTCCCCGTCTCCACTGGTCAAAACGTCCCCATCTCCAATGATCAAAACGTCCTCACCTGTGTTGGTCAAAACGTTCCATGTGTATAAATCAATACATGTTCAAATGACTTATATTTCGGTTGGGTGCTAAGGCTAAGGGCTCATAATAACTATGATCGTTTAGTAAAGGCTAAAGCTATTTATATTACATGCCTGATCAGTAAAGCTATTTTATATTATTGCTTAGCCTTAACCATTCAATGGGATTAACACATTCAAATACTAGAACAAGCAACTAATGACTTGTGTAATGAGTTTTTGCAGTAAGGGAAAGTACATTTATTATGCCGAGGGGGGGGGGGG